GATATCGATAACAGGTTTAAAGCATTCCATCCTAAGGGGCAAGTGCAATTGCTGTTGGATGTGACATTAAAAATAAAAATAACAACAGCAAAATAAGAAGATTGAAGTTTGTCATAGTCGTATAATTCATTGTCCATTCAAACAGAAACGTAATTTTTGAACTGGCATTTTGTACAATTGACTACTTTTTGTGATTGTTTATGTGATTGAGTATGTACATATAGTGATAATACTCAATAGTGAATATGTTAATAAGTTTGACTAGTATCATGTGCTATGTTTATGCTGAGAAACACTTTGACATCTAGTTGGACCAGCTGTTTGGAAACATCATGTGACTGTACACTACCAGCATGTGAATATTCCATGCTTTGTGTTTAAGTTTGTTGGACATTAACTGGACCATACTGGGTTTGTTGTTGGAACAACACAACAGTCATCATTGATGCCATGCAGGGGTTTCGCCAGAAAAACAAAATAGACGGCCTATTTTGTTTTTCCAAAATGGAAGCCAGTGGTCGTGGCACTGAGCCGATGGCGGGCCACGCCCATCGTTAGTAATCCCCATCGATTATTGGTACGAAAACGTACATTCAATCAATAAATGTTGTTTTTATCAAACGTAAATATGATTTACCTTTAGTTTAATGTAACATTCGATAGGTTTGAAGAATATATAAAGAAATTGCTAAAGGTAGACCAGGCCCAATTAGGCTAGGCCGAGCTGATTAGGCCAAGCCGTCACAGTAAAAGTTGCCGTCCTAAATAATTGTAGGCCGTCCAAAAGACGGCCGAACGGCTCGATCGCTAATACTGTATACGCATGCACTATATTTCCAGTAATAAATTTATCTATTCTGTCCTACCTATGAAATAGCGTGAAATATTTGTTTTATTAAGTTTATCTTTAAAATTTTATTTTTCGTGAAATATTGCACACAGGTAAGAAATGAACATGCCACAGTTTTAAACTGATGGGTGCAGCCATGTTTGTTGTCTTGTCTCCGGTCACTACAGAGCGGTTCCTCCTTGTTTCTCTTTCGTGCTGTGGATGTCTACTTCCAAAGTGATGGAAATAACAACGCGCTGATTGGCCGACATGAGATCGGATCGGAGTTTAGTTTGCTAATATAAACCTAATCCCGAGTAAATCTTAATGCTTTGCATCGGCTGTACCGTGTATACAAATACACTCTTTTTATACTACTACTATAAAACTAGGCCTTTTCTAGATAGAAGCAAGGACTAGGCTAGCCTAGGCCTAGATGATGGAATGGAACTGCAGGGATAAGCCCAGTCGGCTGGCGTTCGGACGGATGGTCAACAAACAAGCCTAGGCCTATATAAATTGCCTTCGGGAGATGGAGTTTTTGAGTGTTTTGTAAAAAAAAAAAAAAAATTCAGGTCAGGGGCTTTTCCGACGGTCGGGCGGGGATGCTAACCAATTGTTTTATTTTACGTGGCCTTATATTAAGGATGAAAGGACCTACAACCTGACAAATCTGGTGGGGATGAAATACTTAAAGTCATAATACAATACCAATATTTTGCGATAAAAGTATGAATTTTTCTAACATATTATGTAAAACTCAATGAATGTTACAAATTTATCAAACAATAAATTATACAAAAAAATCTATGGTCATTAAAATTAAAAGGGTTTTTTTTAGCATAGCAGTGCATATACTATTTTATAGTCAAGTTTGAATCATTTTGTTATAGGCTGATACATATTTAGAAGACATTGTAACTTAAGCATTCCCTAGGTTGAAAACTAAATTATGGAGAATACCCTTTTCTACTTGTTAATTAAAAATCTCAATCATCCATCATAACATACGGTATTAATTACTATGCCCTACATTCTAGAGACCAATTCCAGAATCTCTGTCTCCAAAAATCTCAAACACAGCCAAGAATCAGGCATCTAATTATTCCTCTCTGCCTTTGACTAATCAGGGCAAGAGCTAAATAAGAGACTTATAATAGGTTTATATAACGAGAATGATATTCTAACACTTCTGTTGACTCGGTAGATAGAAGCCAAGTGTTTTGAATACTGGATGGTCCCCCGGGATGGTACGCTTGAGTTGGCTTAAAAAGCAATCCATATCATCATATCCTTCCAATAAGGTTATTAAACTACGTTTACCACATATCTAGCACCAGTTGAATATATCCCCTATATGTATGTACTCATTAATGGCAGACTACTGACTTTCACTCTTAATAATCATCTTTATGACATATCGTTGAACTCGTTGAGTGATGGAGCCATTTTGTTGTTGACATTTTGAACTTTACATTGAGCATAACAAATAAAGGGGAGATGAAACCTAAGAATCATCATTCAATCCCATGTGGTATGGCTGTGAAAGGGGATGATAGGATAATAATCTTGTGGCAAAGGCGCTTACATTCATGTCAACATTTGATGAACCATGGAGTCCTAATAAAATGAGCGTGTCCTGCACGGTAAACATCCTGATCCACATGCCAATTGATCTAATTTTTTTTTTATTCAGCTTTAAGCAATAGGATCAAGGATATGCCAAACAGTGAACTAAATCACTCTTCAAAGTGGCAATCCCATCACAAGACAACAGGGGCTGTATGGACCAGTACACCGGAATAACCCCCTACTCATTTTGAAAGATATATTTGGTTCTTTGAAGTGCACATGAGCATTTGTGTACACTGGCCCAACGGTTTATAGTCCTTATCCGAGAAGACTTGTTCCACCACCGGAACTAGGAACAAGGCGGCCGGGAACCTGTGCTGCTATTGTTGGCTATGGTTACGGTGCCCCTCCCTTAACTGCTCGGCCATTCGACTCGCTAATAAACTCTCATGAATAAGCGCCGCTCCTGTAAGTGGCATTAGGATCTTTGCTCAGTGGCAAGGCTTAGTCTTATACATCACAGAGCCTTAGCGCTAAGTATGCTATATGAAAATCAAACTCTGAATTACTGTATGAAATTTCTCAATTACAAGTCCCCTCTTCCGACAGTACATAATTGAGAGACGTTACTGTATTATATATATTTATTATTAGTATTTATATTAAATTGGCGGGTAATCAATATAGTAATGTAAGCATTACATTAAATCTTTAAACTGAATTATAAATTAGCGAAATTGTTTTGATCTGTGTCTACTGGAAGCTGATACCATTTTGTATTCTTTGAAAGCAACAATTCATGTTTTAGGGTCTCCATTTTATTACAAAGATCTTTAAAATAATTATTGTGTTACCAACTCCAAAAGAGCCAGGTTCAACATCATCATCATTTTAGAGTCCATTATTAGTCCATGCAAGCATGGGTTAGACTGTACTTGTGATGGCAGCTTTCCATTCTGCACGATTCTGTGCAAGCTCTTTTTTCAATCCCTTTGCACAAAGGTCATCTGTAATCATGTGAGCCCAGGTTTTGCAGGGTCTACCACATCCACTGTTACCATTAACCACAAGATGTGGGACCCTCCTCAGCCAGTTGTCTTCATTTCTCCTTTCTGCATGATCAAACCAGTATACTGTAAACACAAGATGTGGGACCCTCCTCAGCCAGTTGTCTTCATCTCTCCTTTCTGCATGACCAAACCAGTGTACTGTAAACGTCTTTGCCGCATCACATCCAGTATTGAGGTATACACACTAATTCTTCTTAGCTCCTCACTGGACTTTCTTTCCTTTAAGGTCATACCACACATCCAACGGATCATTGACATTACATTTTTGCATAATCGTTGGCATCCTCAACTTTGATAGGCCAAGTTTCACTGCCATATAATAGCAATGCAAACACATGTTTTGTATAGCTCACCACGCACATTCAAGAATACCGCTTTTGTTTTTAACAATGGTATAATGATTATTTTTTTGTAAAGAACCTTACCTGTAGCTTCATCGGGCAGTCCTGCTACATCTTGCGACTCTTGCCCTCTTACAAATGACCTCTCGCTCTGTTTATCACCACGCCAACTGTGTCGGCTAGATTTCGAAGATGCTGAATCAGACAGTGAAACTGGTGCATACTGTTGAAAGAATTACGTCACATAAATTGCTTTGTATAGTACAGCTTAGTATTATTTTATGGTTAGATGAAAAAAACACTCATCCACTGATCATACATAGGGTCTGTGACTCATAAACATCCAATGATGTTGGAAAAAATTTTGGTTAGTAAGTGAAAATTGTGTGTGACAACAGGTCTAAAAGGCTAGCACACTGACAAAAATATAATTTCATTTCAATAGTTTAAATATATTTCTGTCAAATAAACTTACACTTTAATTTCTACAATGTTTTCAATTGTCTAACAATACGACTGTTGAGGGAATGTTAGAAATTATTCTTTCTTACTTGTCCATCCAGGTTTGAGATCATTTTGTAACGTAATTTTATCAGGGAATAATACACTGAAAAAAAGTTTTTATAAAGATAATCTACAAGAATAATATAAACCATAATAAAGTAATGAGTGGTTATTCATTTTTAGTTCCATAGTTCAATTAATATTTTGGATAAGCACAGATTTTATAAACTACAGTACAATATACATGTGGTCCAACATTAAGAAACACCATTTTCAGCAGCTAACGCACCTCCTTCAGATTAGAAATTCAACTATGTACAGAGACTTCCCTCTAGAGGGCAGGCTTCAATTTCTTTTGTAGAATACTGTAACTATTGAAGGAGTCTGCACACACGTGCTTTCAGGAAAGGATGGTGATGATGAATATTAAAGCCCCATTCCCGGAAAAATTTCAATTTTTAAGAAAAATCTAATTTTTGTATAATGTTACAAAGATTTATAAATATAATACGGAATTGCTAGTTTAACTGAATTTAGACATTCCTAAGAATGAAAAAAATGTAAAATAAGACTGAAATTTGATTTTTTGTGTTCCACACAAAAAATAAATGCGGATGAATTTTTCATGTTGATTTTGCTATAGGTCGTGAGAAGAAATATTGTAGGCGCCGAAAACATTAGCCTATCCAACGCTGCTGGCTAGGCCTTGCCTTACCTCGATTTTAGGTTCTGTTATCACACATAAAAACGGCCGACATGATATTTTCCGTTGCTAGTAATGACACTTGTGAAATATATTATTTCATAGGAATTATTTCAAATTTGTTAAAAAACTGATTCTGACTGAGATTTTGACACTTAAACAAACATATCTCAGCCTAACCGAACGACCGCATTGTGCGAGATGCGAAGTACAAAAAGTAAT